TTGATTTCTTTCTGGCAACCATTTATATACCTAGATGCTGCAAAAATTGTTTTCCGTTTCTTGCCAAACGTAACAAAATCCTATATAAACTGCTTTAGCAAAATAAATAAAAATAACGGCTTATAAACGGTGTTTAAATATGCACTCATCTTAACTACTGAACAAATACTGGGATAACTCCAAACAGCATGAAAGGTTGTAATTGCAGCATGATTTAAATCTCAAAGCCTAGAAATGTCAGCACTTCCAACGTGTTGTTTGACAGTGTTATTTATGTTATTTATATTAGCTAACTGAAAACAGAAACTGTGTCTCGACATAATAAATATAATAGAAAAATATTTTATTTGTACTGTTGTATAAAATATTACACAATCATATAGAATATATAGCTTACATTTTAATATCAATTGTATACATGTCATGAAATCATTTTTTCCCTTATCAAAGATGTAGTTTGTAAACTTCAAATAGCTCTGTATCTGTTCCTGTTGCTCTAGATGACTTTAATTAAAACAGATTTACGAAGGAGACCATTCTGATTCATAAAAGTTGAGTTATAAATTATTAAGTCAGTACACTGAAAGAACAAACCTCAGAGAAATAAAAATTTCCTTTTTTAGTGGTCATACTTTTTCCTCAAACTTTCTTGAAGATGTGTATTTTCTTTCAAAAACATGCTGAACCATTACGTACATTCTGAAGACAAACATGGTTGGTACGTAAGAGGCTTTACAAAAATGAAAATTTTCTTACCAATATAGAAAACAGGTTGCTTATACGATGGGATCGATACAAAATGACAGTTAAAGCAAAAGCCTAAACCTGATGCAACTTACTCCATCCTCAAAAAAATTTTTTTGGTTCCTTCCTTCCTTCCTTTATGCCTGGACTAGTTATTTCCCAGAATCCCTGCCTCTGATTTCCAGTACAAAAATGGTGATAAGCCGTCTGGTTGTAGACTGCTTTTCACACAAATGGTCCTTCTAATGTGGTTGATGGATAAGAAGGGGAGGAGAGACGGACCTCCTTAATATTACAAAGTGTAGTGCTCTGAAATTTAAGGAAGATGCATAATGCCAATGGAAAAATATCTTTGTATAATCTTGTTTTTAGTAAACAAGAAGTCTAGCGGTCCTCACCAGATAACTAACTATGACACTCAATTATATACTCTGTACTTTATCTATCCAAAAATATCTTAGCATAATACAACAATCTAGTTTTGTTTTAATATAGCTATGTGGCAATTATTTGTAACACAGGAACACATTTTAACAAAGTGCATGCTTCCAAACGAGCTTTGGTAGTTAGAAAAGCAAATGTTGTTATACCATCAGGCAAAATAAAGTGCAAAGTTTAATACAGAAATAAGAATGAGCATGTAGTTGAGCTATTTACTGAATTTTAAGTATCATCGCAAGTAAGTCAGGTCCTGTGAACCACAGCAAAAAAGGACAGCAGCCAGTACCTTTGTTTTGCCTCTTCCTGGTAAACTGTATCTAGCTATCTGTTTCAGTTTGTCCCCCTCCCCCCCCCCCCCTCCTTCTCAAAAACAATAGTTCCATTTGGCAGTCATCTTCCTTCCTTGTTTTTTTTTGCATAGGCAGCATAACTTTGCTCTGCTCCAAGAATTTTAAATCTCAATCCTGGTGCTGGCTGTGTATGCACCTGCCTTTGAAGCTACTGGAATTGAATGGCAAATTTATCTGGACAGAGACAAGAAGCTTATGAGTTTTTGTTTGTTTAAGCTAATATTGCTTTTCAACTAGTAAATCAGCACATTGAGAGCTGACGACAATAGTTGTAAATTCAATGTTAATTCTTGTAGGAAATGCGTGGCACATCACATTACTGTCGTCTACTAAGATACAGTAAAAACCAGGAGAGCATGTCCTTGTCTTTTTTTTTTTTTTTTTAAAGTAAAAGCAGGGCACACTGAGGGTCTACACTATGCCAGTGTCCTTTTAATTTCTAACAAACATTTTCACAGTGCACTTTAAGGGCTTTTTTTTTTTTTCCAAAAGAAAGAAAAAAAATTAGCTTATAGTCCACTCACCCGTGCTTAATAGTCTTTCTTGCATATTGCTGTCCTCTCTCATCCCAGCTAGTATAATTGGTAAAAAGTGCATCAGAATCTCAGTGTGTCAAATAACTGTGCAGCAGACCAAGACCTGTTAAATTACTTTTTTTTTTTTTTCCTTTCCTAGAGAACAATACCACTGCATTGCACTCATTTCAAATTGTTTTGGAGATATCATGCTTACTGATGAGAACCTCCAAGAGCCTGATTTTGGCTTTTGCGTGCTTGTATTCAGAGTATTCCTCTGCCATTGCTACTCGATCTTCTTTTTGTGGACTCCTATGAAAAGCAAATAAATAAAAGAAGAAGTCCCATCACGTTTATGACTGAGCAACAGGCGTCCTTTAACAAATCTTTACTGCAACAATTAAGGAGGTCTGGGCTGGATTTGTTTTTAACTAACTGTAGATGACTACAGATAACTTGACAGGACCAAAACGCTAATAAACAGAAATAAGGAGGCCAGGATAAAAATACTGTTTTTTTTTTTTTCCCCCTACACCAGGTAATTTTCTTTCTTGTCAGCTATTTAAATGCAACTAACTTCATCCTAAAATATGAAAGAAGCTATTGCACAGAGCTTTAAAAACTTTTAGCAGTATACCACATGCACCTACTCTTTGCGCTTTTCAGCAAATGAGCCTCCTAAACGAAGAGAGGAGGATAAAGGAGTCAAGAACAGCCAGTACTTACGGGTGACAGAGACGGTGGCTTCTGCTTATGTATTTGGCCTTAATAACATGGCCCAACTGCCAAGCGTAGGCCCTGCAGACTGACCTCTTCAGAAGAACTTTTAGCAGGCTCCCTTCAGCTCAGGAAAGCTCTGGTCTGACAGAGTGGATGGTTTAGCCCCATGACAGGCACGTCCTCCCCAGAGCTTCCCAGGGATGCCTGCACCCTGGAGGAACTAAGCAGGGAGATTGTCATCTCCACAGAGACCAGCTGCCTCCAAGTTATCTTCCAGTCCCTAAGTAAAAGGGGTTTTTTTGGCTCTGTCACACACTCTAATACAAACACACACACACACATGTCTGCATAGGAGAGCAAAGGGGAGCAGTGGTCAGGAGAGGCAGAGCGCGCGCAAGCATTTGTTCGTTGGCATGTTTACCTTCCGGTCTGTTTATAGAATTGGTCTTCAAACTCTCTCAGAGCTTTGCGAAGCCTTTTCTTATCTGCTCTTGTTTCTCTGAGATGTTCAAGCAGAACAGGCCTGCAAGACAGACAAGAACAGCCACCCCCCCC